CTGTTTTTTTTTTTTTTTTTTTTTTTTTTTTGGCCTTTTAGCACATACAGTACTGCACAGTATTACTCAACCCAGCATGGCTCCATAGAATGTACAAAGCAAGCTTAATGATAAAAAGACAGTACAGAGTAGTAATGGTGACCAGAATGTGCAGCACAGTAAGGAAGGTGACAAGTATATACAGAGCAATAATGAGGGTTACAAGAAAGTGCGGAGCAAGCCGGGTGTGGTGGCGCACGCCTGTAATCCCAGCACTCGGGCGGCTGAGGCAGGAGGATCGCTGTGAATTCGAGACCAGCCTGGGCTCCACAGTGAGCTCCAGGTCAGTCTCAACTACATAGTGAGACCCTGTCTCAAAAAAAAAAAAAAAAAAAAAGAAAGAAAGTGCGGAGCAAGAATGTTAAGGTTTTGAAGACAATAACCATTGAAGTGAAGAAGAAAATTATAGAAAAGCATAAGCATAGTATTCATGTGACTGATCTGGACTTGGAGTACAGGATGCCAAGTGGTCAATCTCAACTATTTTGAGGAATAAAGATGCCATCTAAGGAGCTGATGTGGCAAAAGGAAAAACAATGTTAAATAAGCAGAGGACACAAGTGCTAGAAGAGGTACAAAAACTTTTGTTACTGTGGTTAAACGAGAAACAGCTTCCAGGTGGTAGTGTTAGTGAAGCTATGATCTGTGAAAAAGCCAGGAAATTGAACAGTGATTTACTGCAAGAAAACTCTAAAAATGCAACAAGTGATGAGCTTAAAGCCAGAAGGTAGTCAGATAAATTCAAGAGAAGTGCCATCCACAGTGAATTAAGACATAGGCTTCTAGCTCTGATAAGGCCTCTGTTAAATACCTACAAGAAAAAATTATTTTAGGCAGAAGGATATGTCGCTCAACAAATGTTCAACTGCAATGAAACAGGTCTCTTATACAAGAAGATGCTAAACATAACCTATGTCACGCAGGAAAAGGCACTGCTGAAGCACAAGCTCATGAAGGATGGATTGACCCTTTCGCTGTGTCCAAATGTAAGCACTGATCTAAAGACTGTCACTACTGGCGTACCATTCCTAGACCTCTCCTGCATTCAAGGAACAGAATATGAACATGGCCAGACTGCCTGTCACATAGAAGGCCAAAGTGAAAGCTTGAGTCACAGGCAAGTGCTCATAGAATGGCTACATGAGGTATTCACACCTACTGTTAAGAAGCCTCTTTCTGATAACCAACTGTCTCAAAGGTGTCTTTTTCTCATAGATAATGCCCAGGCACACCCTCCCGCCTTGCTGAATGATATGGATTCTGAGTATGAGCATTCTTGCTCATAGAATGGCTACATGATGTATTCACACTTACTGTTAAGAAGTATCTTTCTGATAACCAACTGTCTGAAAGTATGAGTATGACCTCATAAAAGTCAAGTTCCTTCCCTCCAATGTGACACCTCTCCAGGAAGCCAATGGTCAAGCAAGAGATCCGCAATTCAAGAAGCTGTACACAAAGGCACTCTTCACCAGATGTTTTAATGTCACTGAAGAGATGTCTTTAACTCTGAAAGAGTTCTGGAAAAAAACATTTCAAAGTCTTCCACTGCATCAACCTCATTGACAAAGCCTGGGAAGATGTCACATATTGAATCTTAAACTCATCCTGGAGGAAACTGTGTCCAGAATGTGTCATTGAACCTGACTTTGAAGGGTCTGGTGTGTAGGCAGTGAAGGAGATGGGTCCATGAACAAAAGTATAGATCTGGATGTTGATGGTACAGACATAGAGGAACTTGTTGAGGACCATAAGGAGCTGATGTTGGAAGAACTTGCTGAACTCCAGAGTGAGCAGCATGTGTTGAGGATTATTCTAATGAGGAAGAGGAAGACAGAAAAGAGGTTAGTAGTGATGTGATAAAATGCATTATGGAAAAATGAAATGGGTGGCAGGATTTTTCTGAAAAGCACCACCCCAACATAACTGTAATGAACACAGTTTTGAATCTGATGAACAATAACATGGACTCTCATTTCCAGAAGGTTATGCAACTCAGGATAAAACAAGTCACATTTGACAGATTTTTCATCAAAAATTTTTATTAATTTTACTGGTACATTTAAGGTACACAATATAATGACATTCATTGTTGGAAATTTGTACCTTTACATAATCAACCTTGGTTCTTAATTTTTCCCCACCCCTTGCCCCCCTTCAACCCTATTTACAAAGACTGTTTCCATTATTTTTCATTTTCTCATCTTAATTCCATTCCCTTGTTTCCTTTCCCCTACCCCTCCCATACCCCTTTCCCTTTGTCCTTTTCTTCCTATTTCACATTATCTATTATACCTTTTATTGACCAGGCGGCTAAGAGACAAGACCGAAAACCCCTGAAGGTGATTTCCCTGCTGTCCTTTTGGAGGGAGACTGTCCCTCTAAATAACAACCTCCTCCCCACCCACCTTTCTGTTGTCCACACCAGATGTAACCTCAATCAAGGCTAGTGTTCTCTTCCTTCATACTATTCTGTACTTTGTTTCACATTTTCATGATTTAAAAATACATATGGTTCAGAATAGACTAACCTTATTTACACTGAATCCTATGGAAAATTTGAATTGAGTTTATGACCAAAATTGCTTCACAACCATGTTCATAGGGGTCAGAATAGATTCACCAACACTATTTACATTGAACCTGATAGGGAAATTTGGTTTGGTACATGACACAATTTGTAACTAGGATCGTAGAACGAATTAAGTTCATGAACCAAGGTACCACTGTACTTAAGAGTAACTTTCAATTTGATATTTCCTGTGCTCAATAGCCACATGTGGCTAGTGGCTACTGTACTATAATGTTTAACTCTGAATCAAGAGTTGAGCAATGAAACAGTTCCTAAGCAGCAACAGAATGGCAGCTATTGATGTGCCACACTTACATTGACTGAGCCAGTAATGAGACAATAAGCACTGATGAATTTACAGTTTATTAGCAGTGGCAAAGGAGGCAGTATGACTTTTCATAGACCCAGGTAGGTACTACACAGAGGTGGCTTCATCCATAGCTGATAAACATCAAGCTTAGGTAAACTCCCACTTTACAAGGCAACTATAAACAAACCTGTTCAAACTTTGCTCCTCAAAGAGACAGTATCTATTTTCCTGGTCTGAAAATAAACCTGCTCTCTGGCCTACAGGAAAACATAATTTGAAGCCTCCAAGGCTATTAGGCAAACATCCTTGAAAGTATAGTCTAGGTCACAAAAAACTTAGCCATGTCATTGGAATCTATCGCCCAATAACTAGCTTTCCTTTTGAAAGGCTCTGCAGATATTACAGGTGGAGTTAAATGTTCCATAGTATCCTCTACAGATCTTAAAAATAGCAGAGAACATACAATTATAATTGTTTTTATGCTTGTCTATCTCTCTCACTATTCTATGAGCTCCTGAGGGGCAGTGAGATACAGCACTTAAATATTTGATCAAGAAATAAAAATATTTTAAAAGAAACTGGATGAGAGAGGCTAGCAGGTAGAACTTAGTTTAGAATGATGGTCAAGGAAAGTTAAGATTTGATTAATCTAAAATCTGGAAGCTAGCCATGTAGAACTAGGGATAGCTAGGTGTTGTGGTACACGCCTGTAATGCCAGCACTTGGGAGCTTGAGGCAGGAAGTTCACCATGAGTTGAAGGACAGTGTGGGCCATATAGTGAGTCTACGGCCAGCTTGAACTACAAAGCAAGACTCTGTCTCAAAATAAATAAATAAATAAAAATACATACATAAAATCTACAGATGATTGGAGTTAAGGAGGAACAGCCTAGCTAAATGATCTAGGATGTCAGAACCTTAAAAAACTGAGGAACTGAAAGGCCAAAGTATCTAGACACAGTGAAGTCAGTGTCAAATGGCTGAAGGTCATTTGGAAGTGGTTAGAAATGGAGCCAGATTATGTAGGGTTTTACAGACCATGTTGGACTTGAAGTTTTATTCAAAGTCCATGGGAAATTGTTAATTTTAGTAGGGTATATTATAATCTGATCTTTAAATGTAATATAATACCTACAACTGGCTAGGTGTGGTGGTAAACATCTGTAAACCCTACACTTAGGAGGCTGAGGAAGGAGGACCACAGCAAGTTCAAGGCCAGCTTGGGATACATTGCGAGCTCAAGGCCAGGGTGGACTTGGAAGTGAGATCCTATCTCAAAAAAAAGTTATGACCAGCTGCCTTGTATACCTTGTACAATTATGGATGGGAGCAGTTACAAACTCATTAGGAATCCGTGACAGGAAATGGTGATCAATGCCTTGTTTTGTTGTTTCATGTTGAGACTTTAATTTTTTTTTCCTCCTATGAGTTTGGTTCTCTTAAAGCTAGAAACTGAGTGTTTCTCTTTAGGAGATTTAAACTGGGTATGAAGCCCCATGCTTGTAATCCCAGAACTCTTAAGAATCTGAGGCAGGATTAAATGTTTGAGCCTGAGCAATTTAGCAAGACACTATCTCAAAATTTAAAAATACAAAAGGTCATGGGATCAATACCCAGTATCCCCCCCCAAAAAAAAAACCCAAAGCATAAGAAAGAGCATGTAGCTTCCCTTCCTTCTCCTCTCTTAATAAGAAATACTAACCAAGTCAAAATACTAACCATTTCCTTAAATACCTTAGTTTCTTACACTAGTCCTTCAACTGTAGTACTCCCTAGCTACTTAAATTTTACCATCCAGATAGCTTTTTAAACTTTAAAAAAAATCTCAATATACTAAGCTGCTTTTGTTAATGTACGATGTCATGCTACAGTCTGTACAGCAAGAATAGCAATTTAAAAATTCACTTCAAATCATTAAAAAAATCAAATTAGAATTAAGAGTACGAGAGGCGATGTAAAAAGAAGACGTGTTACATATATATATATATATATATATATATATATACCAACTCTCAATAATGAAAGTAATTCTGTACTGCAAACATACTAAAAATACTTTTTTAAATAGAGAATGACAGTATCAGGAAACAAAGTTTTCACACCCACAAAAATGTCGGCATCTAAGTAAGTAGGTGTTTCTAAATTTTTTCTGCATTTACCTTACAAACTTTCCTATTGGGGGATAGGCTAACTTTACACGTTGGAACTTGAGGGACTTAGCTTTTCTGGATCATTAACTACAGACTGTTTGATACTGGCTAAATGCCTCTGAGACAAGGAATTTGGGAGTTCTTATATACTATTCACCTTGCCTGTGAAGGTTCCCTTGAATGCCTCTTTCTCCCTTGATAAAGTTCAAAGATTTTCAAAGCAACCTTGGAAAGCATTTTTATTGGAGCCTCACAACTTTTCAAAATAAAGTATTGTTTCCCCTCCTGTTCTATAAATGAAGAGGCTGCAGAGATGCGAATTGAAGACCCATGATTTTCAGTTGTCCAGAGGAGGCCCTTAGCTCCCTCTGAACAGTATCTCTTACAACATCCACCCAACCCTGCTTTAAAACTAGCTGTACACGAGAGACATCAAGAATCATCAAAACGAGACAAAACAAACAAGCTTTTGAGTTGCTCAGGTTATACTAAGACAATCAATCAGATCATAGTAGGGTACAGAGAATTTAGGAGCCAAGAAACAGAAAAACTCGATGGAGAAAAGAACCCTCCACTTCTTTCCCATTTATTTTTAACCAGACAGAGTTCACCCAGGGCAACCTCATGAGGTAAGTTTCACAGACCAGGAAGTAATGTGCCCTCGGTAGGTTTTCAGGTGGAAAGAATTTAAGGTCACTCATTTTATACCTCAAAATTACACAATTTCTGCAGGTGGGGCGAAGGTCTCCGCCACAGTCACACCACTCGGCTAAAGATCGAGTCTCCCAAGGCGGAAGTCTCCCAACGGAAGTAGCTACTGGGGCGGAGTCACGTGCCAGTCAAAGATGGCTGCACCCTGGAGAGTGGACTGAAGGTTGCAGTAAAACGCTGCATGGTGGAGGAAGAACGCGGGAGGCGAGTCTAAGGTAATGGTCCCGGAATAGGGGGAAGTAAATGTTGCGGGGTCAGAAGTACTGCGTTATAACACGCCGTTTTCCAACAAAGCAAGAGACGGCGGAAGAGGAAAAGCGGCACCGTTTTGCAGACCCTCTCTAACATTAACACCCTGTAAGGAATGATCTAGCATTTAAAGTAAACCATTAGAAGGACTGCCCGCGATTGAATTTAATCTCGGAGTTACTGACAGTTCACACGGTGACGTTGGCTACATTTTAATTTTCATAAATTCTATTGTTCGTCGTCGTGTACCTTTGTGACCTTCCTCAGCGTGATGTGAGTTAGCTAATGCAAAAGCAAAAAACACAACAAAATATATAGAACTTTCAAATTTGTAGTAAAAGAGTTTGCATTTGTGTGTGTGTATTTTTTTGGGGGGTTGTCTTTTTTTGAGATGGGATTTCGCTACCTAAGTACGGAAGTTGAAGCTGACTTTAAACTCATGTAGTCCTGGCTCGTCTCTAACTCGTTGCGATCCTCATGCCTCAGCCTCCTGAATACTGAAATTACAGGCATAAGTGGTATAACCTTTGATATGGGGTTATTACTAAAAGGATTCAATGCCCACGGGTGCTGGCCAGTTAGGACTTTTACTGAAGGGTAACTTTTAATACAAACATCAAAAAATGGCTATTTCACAGAACTAAGAACCTCACCAATATGTAAAGCATAAAAGTAGTGACAGCCTCGGGTGGGACATTCTAAGAAAATGATTTATTTCTGATACATATGCACAATGAATTTAATTACGTATATATTCCTACACCCCCACATATAAAATAATCCAGTGCTCCAGGCAAGGCAAATTGGGTCTACCTAGTTACCGATTCCATTGCCAATACCCTCGAAAATTTGAGTCGGGTAAATCTTAAGTTTTTTAACCTGTGTGACATTCACTCGGTTAATTTTAAGTATAGTGATAATGAAATTTCCATATAGCTTCTATATGTAAAGTATCTAATAAATATTTGGTAGTGATATAAATTAATCTTGTACAGGTAAATACTGTAACCAAGACAATAAAACCCTGGACCTCTTTGTTACCTGGAAATCTGTTAATAAATTCAATCTTTAGAATCTTTTAGAATCTTAGTAAATTCATGTACTCATTCCTCTACTGACACTCACCCTATCTAGTGCAGAGATCAACAGACTACAGGCATCTATGCCACACACAGTCTTAACACTTATTTCTATAAGGCCAGCCAAGAATTTTTTCTTAACATTTGTATTTTTTTTAAGACCATGTTACCCACAAAGCTTAAAATATTTACTATATATATTATACTATTATATATATATTATATATTATTATACTATATATATATATTCAGAGAGAGAGCATGCAAGCACATGGGTTGGTTTTTGTAGGAAACAAAACTGCCTTTTCAAAATATTTTTTTATTAGAACATTTTGAGGCAAACAGCCTGAGAGCCACATGTTGGACACACCTAAGTAGAATATACCCAGAAGGAAAATTCCCCAGTATGTCTTCTCCCTAACAGATAATACAAAATTATTTTCGAAAGTGGTTGTACCCATTTTAGGTACAATTTACACTTTCACTAACAACAGCACATGAGTGTTTTGGCTGCCCTAAGTACTTGCCAGTACTGTAATTGAAACTATCAGTTTTTAAGTTTAGCTAACCTATGGGTGCTTAATGGCATCTCATTATTGTATTTTCCCAATTATACTGATGTTAAGCATATTTTTGTATTTATTGGCTATTTTACTTTTTTGTAAAGCACCTTTTCAGACCTTTTTGCTAATTTTGCTACTGTGTTGCTTTTTTGATTTGTAGCTCTGCATATGTTCTGGGTACCCCCTACTTTGTCACTTTCCAACATTTTCTCCCATACTAGTTTCTGTATGATTTCTACTGATCAACACAAGTTCTTAATTATAATACTGTTTTATCAGTTTAGTGCTATTATTGTGCAATGTTCAAGACATAGTTTTAAGGACTATGAATATATTCTGTATTTCTTCAATGCATCTCTGTGTTCCTTTTCGTGTTTCAGTTTCACTTAAGACTTTTGGGGTTTTGTTTTGTTTGCTTTGTTTTTCTGTATTCTACATATGCACTTTTTTTGCAGATTATGAACTACATCTACACTTCTTTGAAAATTGAGTATAGTTTTCCAGTTTCTTAAATTGTTGTTCCTATTATTGAAAAATAGTATTTTCATTTTTTTAAGGCTCAAGATGGAAAATCATAAGCCAGACGATATTATCAAGGAAAACTTAACTGATATCATAGCCAGAAAAATTAACCAACTTCCAGAAACAGACAGGTAAGATGCCTTAATTTGAAAATGTCTTTTCCAAGTAAATGTTCATTATCTTTTCAAATTTAGCTAAGTATAAGCAACATATCAGAAGACACTGAGCCTTATTCTTATTTTGATGAGAAAACTGTGACCAGGTGATTAACTCTTTTGCCCAACATTACATAGCTAATTTGGGAAATTGAGGCAAGATCATGTGTTTTGACATACCTAATTGTATGATTCAGTTTTTCCATCAGCTTGGAGTAAAATATAAACACTCATGAACCCATTTCAAAGACAAAACTTTAAAATATCTTTTAATTATCTTTCCACTGGTCATGGTGGTATGCACCTGTAATCCCAGCACTCAAGGAGGCTGAGGCCTGAGGATCACTCAGAGTTTGAGGCCAGCCTGGGCTACGTAGTGAGTTCAAGTCAGCCTGAACTACATAGCAAGACCCAGTCTCAAAAAAATAAAAAAAACTCAGTTCATTTTTTGTCTTCTTCCTCAGTTCCTGCCTATCATTATGCTTACCTGTCCGAAAAAGCACCATGGCCAGAGAAACAGGATGAGGGCTGAAGATCTTTAAGATACTATTAAAAGGAAAAATACAGAAATATACTGATTGAAGACAACACAGGCAGCTACAGTACACTTCCACAAATGTTCTTAGACCTCCTTGGAAAACAGTAAAATTTCTAACTAGGTTGCATTTAAAATGAAAATCTGACACCTTTAGAAGGATAAAGGGGCCATCCTGGGGGAAAGGGAAGGACAGTTTCTCAGGTAGAATATCATACATCTGCCCAAAGAGTTTATCATATTTGAGGAACCAATGTTAGTAAATAATAAGTGAAATAGACATTAAGAAAATGGAGAGTTTCAAGCAGAAAATGTGATACAACAAGAGTTATAGTTTGTAATCAACTGCTTTGATGTTCATCAAATTTAGTACTTGGTGCATTTGACATGAAAATTCTATCCTGGTACTTGTGTAATATTCTAACACAAGCTCTAATTTGGTGTAAACTGCCTCATGACTTGCTTCCCTTTCCAGCCAAAAACATCTGTTTGCTACTCATTGTTTTTGGCCCTTGTCTGATCTCCTGGAACCAATTAATGACCAATATCAATGTATTACTATAACTTTTCTAATAAATATTCCAGCTCATTTTGGAAAATAGACAAGGTAATAGAGAAAAAGGAAGAACAGTAGAAAAACTGCCGTAGTTATCCTGGTGAATACAGAGGATAGAATGCTGGCAGTTGAAAAAAAGGAAAAATTGGAAATACATTTTGGTAGTATACTCATCTTCAGGTGTGAAAACTGCACACATTCCAGTATCACCTCAACACAGAGAACCTATAAACCAAGAACAGTAGTAAGAACTTGGGGAGATTCTGAAAGCTTTGCATCTGTCACTACACCCCCCCACACACACACCTTACCCTTCTAGTTGTTTTACTGAAGTAAATAACAAACTTACAAAGTAAAAGGCCCTGTGTTTCCAAACCAAGGTAGGGAAGACCATAAAGATTGAATAGAGGAGATGGTGGCACCTTTGAAGAAAGCAGGCCACCAGTGTGCCCATCAACAAATTAGAACACAGGGAAGTGAGCTGGAACTGCAAAGTTAGAATTTGGAGATAATAAATTGCTTTCAAACATTGGCACATGACAGTATACTATTATCTCTGGCTTGTTCATAATATTTTCCTCTTCTTTTTAAGTTTGAATCTTCTAGCATTATCTCTTGCATTATCATCTCTTGCATTATCAGATAATGCTTGTCTTCCTGCCTTATCAGATATGCTTGGTAATTGATATATTGAGTGTATGGGAATTTATTATCAAAAACATAAATTTTCTTATCTAAGGAACAATTACATACTCCTTTGAATTCCTTGCTATTTGTTAAATTTGGTCTTTTAGGGGCCGGGGATTTGGCTTAGTGATTCAGCCGCCTGCCTTGCAAGCACAAGGGCTTAGACTTCGATACCCGGTACCACACACACACAAAAAAAAATTTGGTCTTTTAGATCTTGCCAAAAAGTCAAGAGTTTCTTCCTACTTCTAGAATTTGTCTGTAAAATTGGCAGTAACAATTTTGTGCTAAAGGGATTAACCAAAAATTTTAACTTTATCCATAAGAAATTAAAACCTGATTGATAAACAAAAATATGCTTTTCCGATTCCAGCTGCATTCTCTCAGCATTGTCTTCTATGACTAAAATGGGGATATTACAAATTTCACATGATTTTTGAAGATGCAATAAATGGAGGAAATGTTAAAGTTTCTCACACCTTCAACCCCCACAGAAAAATCACAGGTCTTTCACATTTATGTTTGTTTGGCAATTCTCTAAGTTTGCATCACTTTAAATATTACCATATACAGTATGCTAAGTTCCTGAACCATTTTTTTATAAACTATTATACCTTGTTAACATGTCTTTCTTCTCTAGTAACACTCAATTTTGAAAACTTGAAAGTAAAAGATAATTTTTGTGCTTTTAGTACTAACTCTAATGCAGGTCATAGGTTCTCAATGAGTGAAATGACAGGCCTCGTTATGAATACAAAGTGATGGGTAAGAAAAGTAATACCTTATACGATATAGGAAGCTTAACTGAGAGTTTCTAGAGAAGTTGTTTTAAGAATAGTGCAAACTACAGAAGTTAGAAGAGGATACTGTGTGGCTTAGTTTGGCTACTCATGAGTAATAAATTTAAGAGGTGAACTGTGTTCCAGATAGTAACATGTGGTTAAAAAAAAAAGGCTGAAAAAGTTTGGAGTATTTTCAATACCCAGTAGAATTACAGAGCCTTGGTTATATATTTCTACATAAACTGTCTTAAAAATCCAGTTACTGTCTCAAAACACCAATTTTATTCATCAATGGGTATTGTAAAGTACCTAGGATAGAATATCACTTAAATGTTAGTACTTCTCCAGTCTCCAAATCCTGACACGAATGCTTCAATAAACGGGGAAAAACGTCACTTTCTGTGGCATGTGTTGCTGAAACTAAGTTGAACACATCTTTATATCTATTATCAGGTTGCTTATAGACAAGAGACAAAGCCTGACATATCAGTGGTTATAGGGTAATGAGAGAGCCATCTAACTCAGACTCTTTCAGAAGCTGCTCCCTGCTACACAAAACATGTTTAGCAAAATCTAAGTATATAACCATATCCTTGAATGTTGATCAAATTCAGAAACCTTTTAGAATGAAAATCTGGATGTAAAATACAACTTAAAGTTTTGAGGTTGTAGAAATATAAGGGATAGATGCATTTAGTTATTCCCAATGTCCTGTTAAGGTCTATGGTATGAGTTTGCTAGAATTAGTTTACACAGTGGAACTAAAAGTTTCTTCTCACCTTCAGGAGTCTACTTGAACATGGATCGACATATATTGGACTTAATGCTGCTATCTGTGGTCTGATAGCAAACAGTCTTTTTCGGCGCACCTTGAATGTGACAAAGGCTCGTATAGCTGCTAGCTTACCAATGGCGGTGATCCCATTTTTGTCAGCAAATGCCTTTTATACAGGTTTTGTAAGTTTACCTCTGAGTACAGGTAAATTCTATTTCACTATTCACCAGAGTTTACCTAGGTATATATTATTGGCAAAATTAAGATTTAATATTTAATAATTATGGCTATAATGCAGTATTTGGTTTAAATTGAATCTTGCTAGCCTCACTGATATATGGTAACTTAATTACTCAGCAAATAAGACATACATAAAAAAATAATTTTATGTAATGTATCCTTACCTCAGCATTCAAGAGTAATAAATATTTGGAAACCTTAATAAACTTTCTTGAAAAAGCTTACTGCCTTTTTGTTATTTTGTTTTTTAATGGTATAGAGAAGTTCCTTAAAGGGAAAACCTTTTGACTAATGACTTAAAAATATGACCATGGGAACTGAGGAAGGCAGTCCCTCTAAGTTTTATTTTGTTAAGTACTGCTGTAAATTTGATTATTAGTATTTTGTTTGGATTCCCATCACCAGTATAGACAAGGGAACTCTGTTGCCTAGTAACTAAACTGAGTGAATGTATCACCCCAGGTTTGCTACTTAGGAAGAGCAGAAAGCTAGAAGCAGTCTAGATCTTAAGATTGTTATACCCACAATGAGAACTAGAGAATTTTTTTCCTAAAATGCTTTTTTAGATTTTCTTGAAAGTTTTTTTACCCATACATGAAACAGCTTTTTTGTTTCTTTCTTTGGATGCTGGGTGTCAAACCCAGGGCCTTACACATGCTGCAGGTGCACTTTACCATTGAACTCTACACCCACCCCTTACTTGTGCCTTTGAATGACTTACAGAATTGCACTTGCTGTATTATTGCCTGAAAATACCCATAGTAAATATAAGTGGATCTTACATTTAAATCATGTTTGCTTACCTATCATGAACATAAATTACCAGACCTAATTTATTTCCTAGGTGATTTAAATTGTGAAACCTGCACCATGACACGGGCTGGACTGATTGGTTTAGTTTTTGGTGGTCTGTACCCTGCTTTCTTGGCTCTACCTGTGAATGGTGCCCTGGCAGCCAGGTAAGATTCTGTTTTTTCATCATCACTAAAAACCTTTAATATATGTGACATCTAAAAACTTGGAACTTAAAATAGCTTCTAAGGACAAACCTTTTAGAGCTTTCAATGACAACAAATAGCTCACTGCAACACACATGCCATAGGATCACCACCACTGTTCTAAGCCATTAGACTGTTACTTGTTTGAAGTTAAAAACTTTTTTTAAATTATAAGTAAACAAATTTTACTTCTCAGGAATTGAATAGTTCTAGAACTGTATTACACTGGGCCTCTATAGTTTACATTACTAATCTTAATTTGCATACTGAATGCTTACTGCAAATAGTAGGCCTCATGTAAATAAAAGCTGTACTATATACGTATTTTCAGAGTTTGAACACTTGCCCTAAAGCAAATTTCCATCAGAAAATATCTTACTATAAGCCTGCTACTAGAAAATAATTGTGGCTATTCTGTTGAACTCATACCAGTAAACTCTGTGAACCTCCAGTGGTGAACTGGAGAAGGGGGCAAAAGAAAACTGGAATAGACATTGAAGAGAGTAGCATTACCTTAAACTTTGGCTAGTTTTATTGTAAGATTTCTAGGTTTGATACATACTGTATGTAAGTTTGTCACTTGATGTAAGTCTTTTCTACTAAAGTATCTTGATGTTTTCTTACAGGTATCAATCAGCCCTGCTACCAGAGAAAGGAAACCTCGTCACATACTGGATTAGAATATCCAAGCCTATCTTTAGAAAGATGGTATTTCCCTTTTTACTTCAGACTGTATTTGCAGCATACCTTGGGTCTAGACAATATAAACTACTTATAACAGCTCTTCAGTTACCCGAACCAGGCCTAGAAATTTACTGAGTGTTCTCTGTACTGGAGATTGAGCTCAGGACCTTGTACTTGCCAAGCAGGCATAGTACCACTGGCCTGAAATTCACTGATTTTTAACCAAATATCCAAAAATAAAAGTGAAAATAACCTGTCTGTAATGTTAAAAATAAACATACACTTGTAATTTAGCACATAAGGTACAAGGGTACATAGGGCAGCAAAATGCTGAATCTCAGTAAAAACTAGCCACTTAAACAAGAGTAAAGACAGGTTGTACTCTGTGGAAGAGTACTTGCCTGGCATGCATGAAGACCTGGGGTCAGTCCCCAACACTGCCCCCCCCCAAAAAAGAGGATAATTTCTCTATAAAGTTTGCTCAGTATTGCCTTTGCTACATTGTTTGCTCCACTCCTTTAGGCACTGAATTTGTTCTGTAAACCAAAAGGAAAAACCATGCAGTAGTTTTCAGTGAAAACTTCATAAAACCAGATAGAAAGGAAAAAGATTGAAAAGATTTATCAATGCAGCAAATTTACATATGCATCATTTTCTGTTTACATGGGATTATTAATCCATGAAATCTTAGAATGTATTTAATAACCTACTTCACAATGGATCAATCCCAGTCTATATCCTTGGAAAGCTGTATTTGTAAAATAAAATTTAGACAAAGTCTCTTGAAGGTTCCATATATTTTGGGATGACAGTTCTTTAGAATCACAGCCTTGAACCTTTTTTCAGAGTATGGTATTAGGCACTAACATCTAGGTACCAAGTGCTTGAGTACCATCATCAGTAACCTCACTGAAGGCTGGTATTGCAAAGTTGCCTAACATAGCACCTGAAAAATCAAACACTAAAATAATAGCCATAACCCTTGTGTTGTTCCTTTGACAAAGATATTTTGTAGCTACCCTATCAATGTTAGCCACTAGTAATATAGGTTTTGAACAAATGCAGTGGGAGTACACAACTACAGTATTAGACAGTGCATGGGGCTAGATCAAAACTTTTAAGAAAGCCAGTCATCAGAAGAGTACAAAGCAAAATCTAAAGTGTCAACCTAGATATATTATACCTAGTAGTCCTCCCAAATACAGTGATTTTTATCTTAATATGTTACTCAATGTTATATAAAGGGTAATCTACAAAAGGAAGCTTTGCAAGTGAAATAGGCTTTCTGCCTGCTTAGAAAAAAATTAAACAATGCTGCCCAAGATTTAAAATTCAAGTAAAATTGTTTTTCTGAAAACTAAAAATTTTATTTTTTCAACAGGCACATAACATGTATTCTGTACCAAACTTACATATGCACAGAAAGATGTGTCAAAATGTTTACTGTGGATATCCTCTAGACTATAGTTAAGGGTGTTTTTTTCATTTTGGCTTTATTTCTGATTTCCCAGGTTTTCTATAATAAATGTGACTCTTACAACTAATGAAAAGGAAATATATTTTGTTTCATGTATGTATGTATGTATGTATGTGTGTGTGTGTATATATATTTGACACAAGATACCAAGAGTAAAGGCTTTGATTCATAGTTGTCCCTTTTACCTCCATTCTAGAGTTGCATTTTATTACACTATTTAAAATTCCTTCAAAAATAAATTTAAATTACTAAATTGGACTCCTTAAGACTACAGGATATAAGCAACTCAGATTAACTGAAAACCCAATAGTGTAACTAGGCTGTTTGAACAGTCCCAAAATATTTACTCTTTAGCATAACATCTGTAAATAGGTGTAAGCATTCATTATCTCATACCATCTATTCTCTATGTTTCTTATATCATCTTTTCAAATTAACAGAAACAGGCAACTTAAGCAATAAAGCAGCTTTAGTCGGTCACTACAAGTCTACCAAAACATTTTTGTCAGAAGGTAGATCCATGACCTGGACCTGCTGTGCTGCATTACAACTCAGTCATTTAAAGCTAAGACCTAAGGAATACTGCCTGAATCAGGAAAATAGTTTTAATAGTTCAGTTTTCACAGTAGATGAGCCAAATCTTCTAGTTCACTTTGTAGAGTTATATAAGGCTTTTTTTTTAATTAAGAGGATTCCTACTATAATTAAAATATATTTTGTTAATTCCAAAATTGTACACTAAGCCAGAGTGGTCTAGGAAAGTGACCTCAGTAGGAATACATGCAAGAGGATTTGCAAGCACATTCTGGGCTACCAATAAAATTCAAATTGTTATATTTACAGAATTACAAAATGTTCCAAACAAATGTAGTGACTAAATTTTTTAATTAGTTCCTGTGAAAACTAAGCAAAGTAGTTTCAAGTAATTTTAGGTCAACAAAAATTACAGGGTATTATAATAATAACAGAGTGGCTGAAAGAATGCCTAGCCTACAGAAAGAGGTATTCAAATTCAAATATATGAAAAGTGTGCTGGCCAAACAAAACATTCTTGAAAGTTTCTAATGGAAGACCTCCGCCTTTTTTGATTTCTGACTTAGATGATAACTCAATGAAAAGAATAGTAAAAACAAACATTTAAGAGGGTCTCAAAATTTATATTGATCATTTGGGAAAAAAAATACCTGTAAATATCTTACTACCTATTCAACTTTTAAGACATTAATTTAGCTCAAAAATTTGACTAAATTAATGAATATACATTCAAACTGCTCAAGCAGATAACCATATATTGAAGACAATAACTTGTTCTATCAAAGTAGTAGGTATCTGTGATCAGCAAAAGTACAGTGGTGGAATTGGCTGTACTGTAGGTCCATCAGCTACATAAGTAGAAGCCAGTGGGAATGTTCTCTGCTGCCTGGCTTTATAGGCACTGAATATATTCAGATCATAAGAAAGTGAGTGGACTTAATAAATTTTGATTACCAAATAAAAACAACTGTATAGTAATTTTAAAATAAGAGCCAATCTGCTAACATCCCTTTTCTATCATCTGCATACTTCCCAGACTGAGTCAGTAGAATAAAATGACTCAGTCTACTAGACTAGGGAAAAAAAATGTTAACATCCAACAAAAATGAAATGAAACAATCCAAATCTTTGCGGTTTTTTCGTACTTGTAATAAGCCAGAAAAAATGTTCCAATAAAACCATATTCCATGAAAAAAGCCACTCTCATTATCCAAAATACTAAGGCCCTTACATAACACTAGAGAAACTTTAATTAAAAACAGTAGAAACTAGTATACCATTCATTAACCTCAGAATCACGTACTCAGATGCCAAAACCTCAGGATCCATGCATCCTAGTGTTAACCTAAACTGTAATTAAGTCCTTATACATTTTATTATAATAAACTTTTTCAAAGGATATACAGACAAATCAGTGCATCTTTTAAAAGACTGTTCTTTATAGTTAAGGACTTTACATTAATTTTTATATTCTCAGCAAGGTGTCTGTCTGTCCTCCAAATTAGCTTTTATGTTCCAGGAAATAAATACAAATTCATAATATGCTTTGTGATCACTGATGGCCTATTTATGTAACTCTAGTCCACTAAATGTAATTCCATAGAATGTGCTCTTGATTATGTCAAGAATGTATTATTTCTTGATGAAATACTATAATTCTCTTCTCCATTGGTCACAAGTTTTAAAAGATATGCAAAGAACTGAATATCACTCCCATGAAAGACAAAAAAGTATAATTTTGTTCCAAAATTAACTTAGTTTCATGTATTTCTATTAAGTCTTTCAGGCATTCCAGAGAATCTTTTCATATCTCCATTTCTGGAAAGTGAAATCAGTAAAGTAGTAATTTGGGAACTTGAAAAATGGCATTCATATTTTTCAGCAGATGCCAAATTTTTGACCGACATGGCTCCCACAACTACTTTGTTACCATCAGTCCAGTCAGTTAACAGGTTGTAGGAAAAGATTCGTTTTTGCAGATACTGCTAAGCTGTTCAAAGAGAAGAGAGAGAAATTAATTTAGTGATTATAAAATGCACAAATATTTAAAATATTTCGAACACTTTGTTGGATATATCAGAGGTGTGACTATATTTTTTTTAAAGTGTACTTTTTAATTAAGCCTGCCCAAGGAAGTACAGAAACAGTTAAGTTGGTATGATAGAAATAGTAGGTCAGTCAGTATGTTGTGTTAGTTCAATTAATGTATGAATTCCTGCCACCATAGGAAGACAAGTATTAAGCTGTATCTTTAGTTCTGTATCATTTAACCACTGAGGTACAATTATCCAAAAGAAAAAGGTCCCCCAAATACTAAACTGTTTTCAACCATTACAGTAATCAGAATCCAACCTGAAAATTTCAAAACAATCTGTTTAGTCCAGAAATCTTTTATCCAGAACACTTTTCTAAAAATAGTAAGACAACAGTTTCATATTAATCATAACTTTTTTAATTAACAAGTAGTAGGACACTTTTAAGATTCTTTTTGCTACATACTGAAATAAACATCTCTTATAAATTCAGAAACCCAAACAGTTACAGTAAAATGTGCTTACACATAAATATGACCAGATTAGCCCCTGATAGGTCCTAAATACATGCAATTACCATGTAAAAACAAGACCATGAGTTGATGTAAAAATGACAAAATCATTAAGTCACCAAAACTAGAAAAGAAATAATGAAATGGAAACTGAGAGAAGACAGTTAATAAAACAAGGAACCTAACAAAGCAGCTTTAAAAATAGGTCATACTAATCTTTCCAAAAGTTCTTATATCATCTATTCCCCAAACTGCCATTTATAAAATGACATTCTAAAAATCTGTACTTGAAATTTCAAAACATCCCAATTCAGAGAGCTTTGAATGTTTTTCCTTAGTCCCAAACTTTAAATAATGCAGGAAACACACTGGTGTTAGAAAATATTCTAAGGGAATGGTGTAATTTTTAGAAAAACTAACTTACTGCTTCCAGAACCTTTTTAAGACCCATAGTCAGTATTAACCACAGTAATTGTTCCTATTTTCACCATTATTTTCCAATGTCATATTAGAGATGAATAAATTGTTTGAGCCCATAACTGAAAGATCAACAAACCCGGTTTTATTATGACACCATATTTTTGTCATTGGTACTGCACAAAATTATATACAAAGAAATATATACAAAAATGTTCAAGTATTAGTTAAATTTCAATTCAAGGCTTCTGTTTCAAAAAGCTACATTTAACATATTTCATAAAGATAGCACAAATTAGTCATTTCAAATAATTTTTCCAACTACTTTTGGTTTTTATATGTATATATATATATATATATAATTCAGTAGGCACTAAAAATCCATGCAGCTGCATTGTGAGGGGCTTGCTCCTGCCCTTAGGTAAAAGCAAGTTCGTCACTCCAGGTTGTGAGTTTGGCTATTACCCATTCATGCTCAAGTGCAGTAGGTGATTTCACAAAATATGCTGTGATGCACTGGAAACCAGAGACCAATTTAGGTCTCAAATCATATTATCTAGCAACAAAACATTTACAGTTGTGCAAGAACACGGATTCCATTTCCATAACCAAACAATAACAAAATAAAACATCTTATGTGTAAGATAACTTAGATCTTTGGACTGCTGGAAAATATTTTTCAATTACGAACATTTTGAAAATAAAAGACAGCAGAAGCCCTGACATTACCTCTTTTTCCTCATTTCTTATACTACCTTTTAAAATAAAGCAGGAAATGTGGCCAGCAGCTGGTCCCGTCTCTTCTGCCCCAACAGCTGTATCCACTTTAGCACAAAGAAAAACAAGGATGCTAAATACGTATGTACTTTATCAAACAGTGATGTTTCACAAAGAATTTCTTAATGCCCTTTATAATGAAGGACAGCATAATTTATACAAGTGGACAACAGATTAAAGTACTGCAAGGGAAGACTTTTTTTTTCCCATTTTTGGAAAAATAACATCAGTATTACATTAAGTGGCCAGAACCACTTAAAAAATTTATTTTTAAAAAGGGAAAATACTTTTAAAATATGGAGTAAGATTCTTTGTGAAGCCTCACTTTACACGTTTTCATTCACATTTCACAACCTTCAGTATCTAATCATACATACATAAATTTAACCTAAAATACAACAAAAATAAAGGTGTTCAACAATTTATATTCAGTGATACGGTAATCACTGTGCTGGTCCTCAAGGAAACACTTCATTAGCCATTCTTATTCTTCCTTCAATTAACTAAAACACAGGAGAATCTGATAGGTAAATTTGCAACTTCTCTAATGGTGAGATTAAAATCTGTTATTCTGAAGAGACTGTACTTTTGTATTTTCTACTGAAAACTAAAAAGCATTTTCGAATATTTAAGAGATTTCTCTCATCTCCAGCAAAGTAAGTTACATTTTGCATGCCTCAAATACTTATTGTCAACCTCTGAAAAGTTGCTCTAAAATTGGAATTCCAATTTGCACCTTGTACAACTCGGAACTTCCATTCAACTTCACCTGTTTCACTGTCTCCAAACTGTATCGCTATAAGCAGGTTTCAGTGTACAGTTGGAACCGATGTCATCCAAGGCCATGTCCACACTGGGTACAGAAGAGCTAGGTACACGCAAGTCTGAACAAGGGGACACATTAACAGCTATTTCAACCAGAAGAAGCATCTTAAATACATCGTTGACCAGCACAAGTCTGTTTCCAGGGTGGACAGGGCCCAAATTAGATTCCCCTCCCACGTTTCAAAAAAGAATAAAAAAAAAAAATCACACACACACACAAATTGAGATGTTGCCCATTAAAGTAGACTAAGCAGCAGAGCATGAGCGTTACGTGAAGAGATGGATCCTTACCAGGTTGTGAGGCGGGAACGACTGTTCTGTAACCCCTACAACGGAGCCTGGCAGGAAGGAAATCACCTAAAAAAGAAACTGTCAGAGAGATTTAATAGTCACAGGTTATCATTAGGAGTTGGTTACAGTGTCACATTCATGCTTTTAGCTAAACACTTAAAAGATTCTATATTACTTTTTTCCTCCTCTGAAATGTGTCCAGTGAAGATGTCCCACTAAAGTGTTTTACATGGTGTAAGGGAGTTGAAAGGGGTAAACGCGGATAAAGAGCAGATTACTTGACCCTACATTTTAAGAGACGACGACGCCTTCCGAGCGCACGCCGAGCAGAACTCCACCGACACCTTATCCTTGTCCACATGAAGACACACTCCTCCTGCCGAGTCGTCCTCTTCCAGCAGGTCCTGCTGCTGCTGCTTTCCTACAGGCAGGGCGTAGTCATGGTCCCCGGCGGGCGAGTCTCTGAAGAGCGAGGTGGTCAGCCGCAGTCCCACGCCGCTCAGCCGGCTCAGCAGGCGAGCCAGTCCAGTCTCGTTGGCTAGGACTGCCCGTAGGTAGCGACTCTCTTCCTGCAACGCCTGGACGCGCCTGCCCAGCTCCCGATTCTCGGCCCGCAGCTCCTGGTTCTCGGCTGCCAGTCCCCGGACTCGACTCTCCAGCCCCATCACGTACTCCTTCTTCTTTAGCCGATTGAGACGCGCTGCGGCCGCCGCTGCCTTCCGGGGACTCTTTGTCGCCGCCTGATTGTTGTCGTTGCCGCTGCCGCCACCGCTGCCTCCTCCAGGGGACTTCCTTCGCCTCTTTTCCCCGATGCCACTGTCACTGCCTCCGCCGCAGCCTCCGATACCGTTTAACAGCCTCTGCAGCAGGTCGGAAAAGCGCTGCATCTCAGCCGCCGCGGCCTCATCGTCGTCGTCCCCTCGCCAAAGGCCGCCGCTATCCGAGCCGCCGCCGGACGAGGAGAGAGGCCCTGGCGAGCTGAGTCCGGGCTCCAAGTGCCAGTCCGGCTGCCGAGGGTCCAGCAGATCGGCCAGTTCCAGCCCAGACAGAAAGTCCATGTCCTCCGTCTCCTCTCCCGGGACGCCGGCGATCGCCTCTTCCTCCATCTCCTCAGGCGAGGGCGCGCGCACGGCCACGCC